AATGTAACCACAAAAAGAATGAACCAATCCGTTTTAAGTTAAGCATGAACCTTTTCATATTAACAATAAGCAACAAATAGTAAAAACACAATTTAAAATCACAAACTTTCTTACCTTGATAAAACAAGTTCACAGAAAGCAGGAAATAAAACCAGCAAATGAGAATGTCTTCTCTGATTATCTTTAGAGACAAACTCTTTCAGTTGAGGAGGCAAAGGAAGAGATAATGCTGTTTCAGGAAGAATTACGAGTTGAGAAAGCTCTTTGAGAACAAATGTAACTTCTTCCATTCTTGCTCGAGGCAAGGAACGTTCATCACCTGTGTAGGGAATAGAGTTTATTCGAGCAAAATATATATATATATAAACGAGTAGCAAAAAAATATAAGGAACGAGTTTTTCAATCACAACAAACCAATTCCATTTTCGTCTGACAAGAATTTCCTCAATATGAAGTCACATCTCGACATAAGTGTCACAACTGAGATTTTGCCAACTTCAGATCTGCCCAAACTCCAATCACTTATTTCTAAGCTGCAGGTCAGACTTTTCTGTGAGATAATACTGAAAAATAAATTAAAAAAAAATCATTCACGTGTTATATAAAAATTTCAAATTACCTGCTCAAAGAAAATAGCTTCTTCAAGCATGTCAAAGAAAATCTGCTGCAGTGAGAAGGCATAAGCTCAACGGTTTCGAGAGGCAGAGAACAAGTACGCGATGCACAACGATCGAGCGTGGAAATTAGTCTTTGTAGAATCTGCGAATGCAGAGTTTCTTGTTAATTATATAAAATAGTATTTGTATTAATTGAGCAGTAGAAACGGTTGAAAATTATTACATCAACAGGGATATCAGTATCTGAACCAAGAATTTTATCTCCCAAAATGTCTAAAATGTTCATCTCAAGAGACTCATCGATCTCCGAGACTTTATTGGAAGGTAGCGCACGGCCACAGTGGCCCACCAAAAATAATTCGTACACATCAGCAACTTCTTTCCAGACATGTACTCTTTGCAATCTAGTAATAGAATGATCTGTGCAGCTTTCTGGTTTCAGTTTTTTAACATCGTCAATAAGTAACCGGTGAAAGCCCTCGACAGCTATTCTCCAAAGTGTTCCGTCAGGATCATCCCTTCTTGTTGTCATACACCTACAAAGACCAATAAAATGTAAAAGAGGAGACCTGACTAATGGTTGAGCAAATCAGGAAAAACGTTTCGAGTATTGTTGAAAAAAGGAAGGACAATTGTATTTTGAATTCAAAAGTAGAAGTATGTTGGCTCAATACAAAAGAAATGACTACAGATAGAAAACTCAAAATTTTTAGAAAGTTAAACAAAAGAAATCACTGGTCGGAAAGCCTGATCAGCAAAAACCAATATCCTAACTAAAATTCTGGAAAATAACCAATACACAATAATGACAGAACAGAATTATAGGAAATTATACATGCATAACTAGATCAGTTAGAGAGTGTATCCTCACCTTCCCAGACTTTGAATTAAATTTGGGAAAACATCATATTTTTCTTTAACTGGAGCCAGCAAAAAGAGATCAACGAGCACAGGCACAAGTTTCTCCGCAAACAGTGTATATTTGTTGTTCAGAGTAAACCCTTCTCCTTCCTTTCGTGTCGTTGAAGAAGACCCATTGGGCATATCACCTATGGCATAAAATACATATCAGACTTTAAAGAAATTTTTTAAACTGGATCATAATAGCCGGAATTACCAGAAAATGACTACCATTGTCAACTGGTTCATTACGATCATTGTTTTCATCTAACAAGGGATCAACTGCTGGAAGATAATGCAACAATTTCGTGAGGAGCATAATCCACATTGAACTAAGGTTCGCTGCTGGACGTAGTGAAGGTAAGATTTCCAGTACGGTCCTTTGCACTGGTGGTACATGACCCTGTCAAAACAAAACACATTATTTTAAAAGAACATACTAAGACTATGAGCTCCAGGTTTTATTATATCAATATTTCATGTGCATCAGTCAAATTATCCGAGTTAGATAACTTTGCTGTGTAAATACTATATTAATTAACGGATTCCCGGGAGGGAAAATAAAAATGGAGGGTATGGAGCAAGTTGCAATCAAAATACTATAATTACGTAATCTGCTTCGAAGTTGTTATTGGAGATCTTGGATTCTTTAATTGTAGAATCTACAACAAATATCAACTGCTTATACATGTCAATGTCGAACATCCCTTGAGCTTGGACATACAGTTCTCCTGTAGGGAAAGGAAAAAAAAAAAGTGGAAGAATGGTCATGCAATGTGAACTGTGGTATCACTCATTCTCCAATGTCTGTTTGGATGTTTGAAGGAAATAAGAACCAGACGAGATAATAAGAACCAGACGAGATACGATAACATTACCAAGACCATGTAAAATCTCCTGCTGCACCTTTTCTGAGACATGATAAGTATTGTTTGGAGATTTCAGAAGAACATCCTCATAAATATCGAGTACAGACCTAATGTAAGTTATAGGAAGATTTCCCTGCGTGAAAAATATATACGAGGTTAAAGGAGACAATGTGTAAAACGTAAGCAATAAGCTAATAACCATTACTTGACTTTAATAAGAAAATTTATTTCCATTTCCACTGATGAGAGGAAACAAGAAATAATTAATAAAAGAAAAGACAAAACTAATTCTGTATACTTACCTTTGGAGAATGAGAAACTATGGTGGACTGCAAGCAGTTTATTGCTGCAAGAGCAACTTCTTTACTACCATTTAGAATGCTATTTTTAATGAAGACAAGCAAAGATTCCCAACCTACAATTGTCAAACAAATATATTGTTGATATTTAAATTATACAATTTGGAGGAGCGTGAAAGAAAAAAATTAAAACGCACCAGACTCGAAGTTTCTTAAACTTCTAAGAAACGGGAAAAATGATCGGAAAATACGGGCAATGCCTCCGAGCACCAATGCAAGTGTCTCATCCCATTGCTTTTGAGCTGTATTTCGACTGCCAATCATTCGTTTAGACAGAGGATTGTGTCATTTTGTAATTTCATGGGAAAATGAAGCACCTAGAAATAAAGTAGACATCCTTAGTACCTGTGATGTATAAGCATATGAATTGCTTTTCCTTTTCGGGTTCCAAGTTCTTTACCCTGCCATTCGTCTTTAGACGATGTTGCAGCCTAGAAGCAGAAATCTTTCTCAATCACCAAAAGGAATAAAGAAACTAGAAGATGTATATAATTTCAAGAGACTTTAAGATAGCAAGACTACCAAGTGAGATGCATGATCCAACGAAGGGAATATATAATTTGCAAGGCAATCCTCCCACATCCTTTTAGAAAACTTCTGCCCATGACTTCCCAGAGATTGGAATAGCATTCTAATGGCGGAGTTCCTAACCTAAAGACAGTTTCAGTTGCAGCTGAAAGACATAAGCCATCTAAACTAAAATAATTAAGCAACAAAATTCCAAAACTAAGACAACATAATCGAGTTAAGTAGGAACACAACTATACTATGATGAAAGTTACTCTCTTAATCCGAACAGTAGCTATACATTTAGCAGATATAAGCACGTCTCATCAACAAAATTACCATAAATTCATAAAGATTTTATCGGGAAAGAAAAAAGTGACTGTTAGAGGCAAGAAACACATCTCAGCACTAGGATTTCACCTTCATTATTGTCAAGTAAACAAATCCCAAAGATGAAAGAGACTCTTAACAGTTGAACAAAGTTTACTTTTGATATGCATGAAGGTTTTTAATGACACTGAAAGGGTATGTATCAGAAGAGTATGAACATTTGGCTTCTACTAAAATCTGGATTACCTCTGGTCTCTCATCGGCTTCCAGCTTATGGAGTGAAGAGAAAACTGAAAATAGCAACTTGTCACGTTCGACAATATCCAAACGGTGTGAGGTATGAACAAGTTTATCATGAGGATCAGGAGCTGGCTCATCCTGTTTGTCATAATTCGTTGGATCTGAAACCCAAAACAAGTCACCATGATCTCTGAAAAACTACAATATACAATTCAAATCTCCAAATCCTCAAATAGATTATGAACCTATTTCAAATTCTTCCTTAGTCCAATTCTTAAGTCCTTTCACAATGAAGTCTGTGGCGGTCCACAGCAGACCTATAGCTGTCAGACTTATATTCAAGTCAGTCTTCTGTGTACTGTATGCCCCAACTACATCAATACACCTGCAAAAAAAGATTGAAATAGTGCATGAGGAAAACAAAATCAGACATGATGTTTAGTAACCAAGAAGAATGGCAGCCGAGATGCATTCATTCCAAAAATAAATAAATAAATAAAGCTCTTGAGGGCAGTGAAGTTGAATTTACACTACATCACCAAATTATTGCAAGTTTCAGCAAGTGTACAGCTGTAGATGACTTCATAGAGATTGCAATTGCAATTTGAAACAAATGTAGGAAGATGACTGCTGAGATATAGAATGGAAAATCATAAACCTAGCCTAATGGGCTACCCAAGCTTATTGTGTCAAATATATATAATTTATATGTATAAACGTGAGATATAACATTTACACACATGTAAACTAGTTTCATATGGAATCCTACTCTAACCACAGGCATTTATCTTTTTACAGCAGAAAGACACGTGCATTTTGAGGCAACCTATGATTTTGGAAAAGTGCAAAGCTTGTTTCATTGCTAGGCCGAATGAAGCAAAGTATCATGCTATGACTCTTGAATAATCATTTAAACGTTTGAATAACTATGTTTTGGCCTTATCAAAACTACTACTTATGCAGAATTTCAGGAATATTTTAATTAACTAGGTTAAAACTTAGAAGGCATGTGTGAAAGATTTATTTCTCAATGAGAAAAATACTGAGTCATATTATGTCCCGAAGAATGTTTTATGGAGGATAAGATATCCTAATACACACGAGGGATTCCCAAAAAATATGCTCCAATTGCTTTTATAGGACATAAAGTACACCCCAAATTATCCCACTGCCTTATGTCACACGAGAATGAGGAACCTGACTTTTTTATTGGAAAATGTCAAAGCTCCTAGATAAGGTGTATTCTTTTTAGCCCAAACAAACCAAAACAGAAAACAACTCATTTCCACATTAGTAGAGTTGAGATTCTTGGCCAAGTGTCCATAAACAATTCCGGAGTAACTCATATAGTTGTATATAATTGTAAATTTGCAATTGATGTTCAAACTTTAAATCTAATATCCTAATCCAAATTGTTTTTCTCCTTCTCCCCCCTTCCACTAACCACCCATCATCTCACCTTCCTACCAACAACTGCCTAACACTGCCACCACAGGCCTTCCATATTTAGCATCTAAAGTCTATAGTCATAACTCTATTCTACTCGCCTATTAGGGTTTGAAGAATTGAAACATGAAAAAATGTTGATCTTTCATATGGAAACTCAGCAAAAAGAAGCTAGAAATTTGTCAAAGCCATCAAATGATAGTTATAGGTCAACCATCTCTATCATGAAACTTGAAAGAAACATTAGCTCATTGGCAAAATCTTAATGAACTTAAGCAACACAATGTGTTTCTTCTATATCCAATAGAAATTGAGCTTTAACAGAGTTTAACAATTCGGTTATTCCAACTTGAAATCTTCATCATTTTTTTCACTCATTCTTATGAGAATGCAAGTACAATTAATGAATAAACTATCACAAAAAAGAAAAAAAAAAATAATCCCAATAACAGGAGGAAGGATGCACTTACTCATGGAGGCAATTAAA